GCGAGGATCTATTTTGACACCCATTCCGTCAATCGCGAGAATATCGCGCAGTTCTGCCAGGGCGTGACATTTTTGCAGGTTGGGTCTACGAATTTCATTGTCTTGCAGCAGTAGGTCATGATTCAAATCACCGATAGACCCATTGTCGCGTCGTGGTCACCTGAATTCGATGTGGTGCCTTCACTAAATGCCAGCTTACGGCTCATCCTCGGACTTGTTGCGCGTGGGGAACTTAGTCCTTGACCGCTCCTGCGCCGCCATTGGAGCATATGCTGACACTGTAGGTGGCCATTCAAGTATTCACCGCCATCCTGCCATTTCCCTAACGGCCAGCCGTATCATATCACACGCGCAGATTCGATCCAGCTCCAGCGGCGACGTCCTTATCTCCAAGATATGTTGTAGAAGGTGCTAGTGCCGGAATAATCGTAATATATGCTACAGAAACATGCGACCTGGCGCTACAAAGCAGAAGACTAACAAGCTACAAGAGAGATATCAAACGCAAAGTAACTTCGTTAAAATCATTATGAATCACCCAGATCCCGTAAGCCCACCAGTAGCCCCCGTCGCCTGAATGCGCGCCTCGGCATCCTGCTGCGTAGTGCACGACACGGACGTCCCAGGGGCGTTCACGAGCGGAAGCGCCGCGCACGTCGTCGACGCGCCACACTGCGTGACCTGGAACTTGCCTTGCACGCACTGCGCGAACCCGCCGCTGACACAAGCCTGGTCACCCTCTGAAGAAGAGCTTGTCAGCAAGCGACTCGCAATGTAGCCACAGCAGAACGAAGAGGCTCACCTTGGCAGGCAGAGTTGGCGTTGAGACTCGCGAACTGCTTGTTCTGCTGCTGCGCGTCTTTGCCGTTCTGCAGCTTGAAGTCGCCTCCCCCACTTGAAGCAGATGCCGAGGCTGCGGGAGCGGAGGCGGAGGCCCTGGCAGCAAGAACACCACCTGCTCCGGAACCACCGTTGTCCTTGGACGACCCAGAGCCAGATGAGATAGAGCCACTCGATGTAGATCCCCCAACGCCGGAGCCCGTTCCTGAACCCGCGACGCTGGTAACGCCTGCATCTCCAGCACCAGCCGATCCGGAGCCGCCCTGAGACGACGAAACGCCCGAAGATGAACCGCTTCCGCCAGTTCCGGTGCTGTTGCCAGCCCCAGCCCCAGAGCCAATAATGGAACCGGCGCCGGTTCCAGCCCCAGATGCTGAGCCGGTGCCTACACCCGTGCCAGAGGCCCCCGAGCCGGCTTGCGACGAGGACCCTGGAGCATTGGCACCAGCCGTACCGTTCTGAGCAGCCTGGGGGTTGGATGCAGACCCGCTAGCGCCGGAGCCGGATGCAGAGCCTGCACCAGAACCAGAGGCACCACATGCGCTGGAACCAGAAGATCCAGCACCCGACCCAGACGATATCCCAGTGGAGTTGGCGGCCCCACCCGTGGACCCATCCGCGGCACCGGTGGTGGGATTGGTTGCACCCGAGTCACCGCCTCCCGACGTCGAGTTAGACGCGCCCGGCGTGGCATTGGAACCGGAGGCACTGCCAGACCCGGCAGTGGTCGAGTTAGATCCTCCAGTGATATTACCGGGGTTTGCAGACGCGGTCGAGTTGGAGCCACCGGATGCCGTTGAGGTCGAATTGCCCGAGCTCGAGGCACCGCCCTGGATGTTTTTGAGACCAGGATCGGAGGTGATGTCCGTGAGCTGTGTGCCGTCGGCGATGGGGCCCTGCGGGTTGGCAGGGCACGAGCCAGCAGGGTTTGGTGCTGCGCCACCTTGCGGAGTGTTGCCACCATCGGTCCCGGTGGCAAATGTAGGGGAGTTGCCTTTGAACTGGCACTGGAAGAGGCCCTTGAGCTCGGCATTCTTCGGAGCGGTCTGGCAGTATGGAATAGACTGCGAGTTGGGCTGATAGATATCTGGTTAGCTCACGAATTGAACGACAACACGGGGTTCAAGAGACGCACGGAGTTACGGGGCTGCTGCGCGAAAATTTGGGCGAACTTGATCATGTTGGCGTCGTTGTTGTGCTGTTTAGCGAGGTCGATCATTTTGTCCGCACCATCCTGCTGGTCGCACGCTCCTGCGCCTGCGAGAAGCGCAGCAAACGACGAGACTGCAACCTGGTTGCACTGCTGACCTCCGCCGGCGGTGTCCTACGCGTCACCAACATAGCATGAGACACGATACATAACCCGGATTAAAGGACGACATACGCATGCTTGTTCCCATTTCTTAGTCGAGTCCGAGGTGACCTGCGCGATGCGCTTCGTCAAAGGTGCGGCAGTGGCGCCTGTGGTAGCCAAGGTGAGCACCGCGAGCATTGATAATTTGAACATAGTGTGTAATAGCGTGTGGAAGCGTGTCGTCCGGAGAGATCGTTATGAATGAAGGTAGGTTGTGAAAGCGTGTAACAATATGCGAGCACTGCTCGGCTTGGAGTGAGAGAAGAGAGAGAGAGAGAGAAATTTGTGAGGAGAATCTTGGCAACGGCAGACCTTTATATACAGCGGATGCACCTAGAATGGAACGGTGGCTCCGTCGCATTGTGCTCGGGACAATGGCTAGCAAGGCTTCGAAAGTGGAGCTCCGGTGGTGCGCCTGCCATAAGCGTCAATGCCTGCAAAGACGCGTTCTTTGTTAGCTGGTAGCATCCCAAACGCGTTACACGCGTGTCCAATCTAGTTCAGCAACAAAAGGGACATTCTCATAAGACATTTTCAGAAGTTACGGGGGTTGTCCATGTCGTTGTGGTGAAGAACGCGTCCGAGACAAAGGTTTCCATCCAAGTGCTTCCGTTTTCGTCGATAAGCCCCTGAGTGTACCCGACCACGACCGTTCGCTCGACGCTGGAGTCCGCGAAACTTTTACTGAGCTCTCTTGTGCTTTCCCCTGCCTTTCCATGCACCATGGCGACCCTACGAATAGCTGCGCTTCGTAGGCTCTCTCCACGCAGTGCGCGTAGCTTGTCGACAGCGACGCCCACGACACGAGGATCACCACTTCGGACAGGTGTTTACGCTACGGCACTGGTATTATCGACAGGCCTCTTCGCGGCATACTATCTCGACGCACGCTCTGCTATACATCGATACATAATCCCGCCTGTCATACGACTAGTTTTGGATCCGGAGGATGGACACAAATTCGCTTTGAAGGTGCTGCAGAGCGGGCTGGCCTCACGCGACCTGGTAACCGATGACGAGAGGTTGCAGTGTGAGGTACGCAAACGTTCGAGGTGTCGCGAATGAATTTCTTACTCTGCGTGAAGTTCTGGGGTCAGCCGTTGTCAAACCCTGTAGGACTGGCCGCTGGCTTCGACAAGGACGGAGAAGCTATTGACGGTGTGTCTGTACACGTCTTGTCACTAGAAAATCACTGAAGAAGTACGCAGGCCTATTCAACCTTGGGTTCAGCTGGGTTGAGATAGGCAGCGTTACACCTCAACCGCAGGTTCAAACGAGTCTCTACAGTCTCGTAAATACAAACTAACAGCATGACACCAGCCAGGAAACCCAAGACCACGCGTCTTTCGCCTCCCGGATGACGCGGCGCTCATAAATCGCTATGGGTTTCCTTCGAAGGGCCATGCCGCACTCCTTGCGCGGCTGCGTGCGCGCGTTCCCAAATTCTTAGACGAGGAGACAAACGCCGCGTTCCGTCCAGACGCCTTACTTGCCGTGAACCTTGGAAAGAATAAGACGTCGGCTCCAGAGTCCATTGAGGATTTTGTTGCGGGCGTCCGGACGTTTGGCCCTCATGCAGATGTCCTTGTTGTAAATGTCTCAAGCCCCAATACGCCCGGCCTCCGGTACGCCTTACAGTCATCTTACTAGCCTAACTTACTCAGTCGAACCAGAGGGCTACAGACGCGAAGGCTTCTGGAAGAGCTCCTGACGGGCGTAACAGATGCTAGGGACAAGCTGCCTTCTCGCAAGCCCAAATTGGTGTTGAAGATTGCACCGGACCTCGAAGAGGCAGACCTTGAATCTATTGCGTCTGTTGTCCGGAGAAGCAGCATTGACGGCGTGATCGTCAGCAACACCACAGTCCAAAGACCAGCGAATATCGCCGATCGTATGTCCCTCTACTCCCATTCTGCGCGCTTCAAGTGCTGATATTCTATTAGCTAACAAATCTGAGGCGGGTGGTCTATCCGGCGCACCATTGAAACAATACTCCTTGCGGGCCTTGCGCACCCTCCGCACTCATCTACCCGCATCCATTCCGCTCATTGGCTGCGGCGGCATCTCGAGTGGCGCCGATGCACTCGAGTATGCACGGGCGGGAGCATCGCTCGTGCAGATATATACGAGCTTTGGGTATGATGGCGTAGGCACCTGTAGGCGCATCAAAGACCAGCTTGCCGCGGCGTTGGAGAAGGAGGGTACCACCTGGGAGGCGGTGACCAACAAAGCCGTTGCAGAGCTGAGCCTGAAGGAGACGAATGCAAGAGGGACGGTAGGACAGCTGCTTGAAGAGGCCCGGGAGCTAGAGAAGCTGGTTGATAAGCTCGGGCAGAGCATGCATAGCAGTGAGGGAGAGGCAGAGACAGATGCTAGAGCGGAGAGCGGAGAGGCCGCCGCCTTGGTGTCCGTAGTCCCATAAAAATGACCATTCAGCTGGATACATCGGTAGCCCAGTCTTGACGGGTATTATCCTTGGTATACCGGACAAGTCCCTCGTACCACGCAGCTCAAGCGGGAGAGTTTATACAGCCAACTCAATTCACCCGTCAACTTTTAGTCAACGCGCGATGTGCATACGTGCCCCTACAACTCATGAGCCCTTGGTGTTGTATCTTGACTCGAAATTTTACATGACAAGTCCGTGTACTGTAACTAACTTGTAGGGCACGAGCTCTTACTTGGTGCAGGGTACTCGTCTGAAAGTCTCAGGAGGATAAGTTATGTAAGATATGTTAAAGGTTGGTATCAGCGTGACTGCAATTTTCCGTACGGTCTTAGTTTTCTGGCCAACTCATTTATACAAGGTGAGATGGCCGAGCGGTCTAAGGCGCCAGACTAAGGATCAGTTCCATTGGAACACACTTATCACACATCGTGATATCTGGTCCGAAAGGGCGTGGGTTCGAATCCCACTCTCATCAGCTTTTTGCTCAGCATACCGCAGACTACCCGAGATGAAACTGACGGGAATTGAGCAACGCAACATGTTCTGTCAAGGAACGGAGGCAAACGAATCGATTTTGAGCCCGCTATCATCGATGTAGAAGATGTGGCTAATGAAGCTGTAATTAAATATTGCCTGATGGGGAGGTAGTAGTCGTGAGGTGCTCGTCTGAATATGACTCTGACGAGTGATTTCGGACAAAAAACATGCATATGGTCCGACAGAGTATGATCATATAGCAGGTACTCGCTAGCGAGTATTTGTATCTATCTCTCCCTGTATTCCGAACGGCGTGCGGCCATATGCTATTTTGTATCGGGGCATGCCCCGTAAGACTGGCCGAGTCGGATTCGAGGAGCTTATGGCATGGGTTCGAATCCCACTCACCCGAATTGCAGCCCCGAGAGAGCGAGGGCTCGAATCCCACTCTTCAAATTGCTTGTGCGCAAGGGTCAGCTTCCGAATCCCACTCACTTTTATCATTATTGGGGACTCAGCTCGTAGCGTGGGTTCGAATCCCACCACTGAGACTTAGACATTACCAGCGCAGGCAAGGCTCGAATCCCACTCTGCAAATTACTTGGGTACAGGTATGAACATCCAAGCTCCACCCATTTTTAGAGGGGACTCACCGCCGAGGAGCTCATGGCGTGGGTTCGAATCCCGCTCATTTGGAGAAAACGGAGGCCGCGCGCTCACCTGTTGCGCAGGCCCACTGACCAGAATCTGACCAGAATCCTCGGTGATCCGCACAAGCATGACGGTGAAATGTGCAGTGAGTAGCATTGAGAGATATCCAAATCTATGTAAGTAGGTAGGTAGATGATTGCGTCTATGCAAGATATTGAGAGACATGATAAGCAGATGCGATACGATAACCCAGAACAAGTAGCAAAACAAGACGAACACAAATACACATGAATGAAAGCCAGTCGACGAATGTCCAACAATCTAGGAGTAGGAAGGAGGCGCTGCAACACGGGCGATGAGCAAGACGCACACGCATTACATAGTGAAAGATTATTCACCAGGTGACCGGTTCGACGCTTTTAACGCTTCTGACAATAATGACCTGTCCTCGTCTGGCAAGTTGCCCAATAACCGCGCAAGGCCGTCTATCGTCGCTTTGCGGTCTTCGCGCGAAAGGTCCAGGAGTTGACGCATGAGATAGTCGCTCTTCAGCTGTGCGAGTGTGGCAGTCAAGTCCAACTTCTCGAGAGACTCCGCCACCGTGCGAGCGTCAGTAGTTGCATCGATCGAGGCAAGCGATTCGAGGAGTTGAACGCGGTACTCCGGAGAGGATTCTGGACTTGCTTCCGCGAGCAGCGCAAGGGCCGATGAACGAGCGATTCGACCGCGCACAGCCCAGTAGAACTTTCTCCGAGCATCCTTCCATACCGCAGCTTTCGCGCAGCCTTTCGCCTCCATACGTCCAGTACGGCTGGCAATAACAGTTAGTCTTTGTACGGCGAGCTATACTGGATCGACTCACTCGTGAAGGTCAGCGTAAAGCAGAGCAATTTGCTTGTACGAAGGTTGCAGGAACTTTTCGCGAGCAGCGAGTGCCTCCGTTGCAGCAGCACGCTCTTCGACCGTCTTCGAGGCGTCTTTGCTGTCACGCTTGAGGCTGGCGTATGTCTCGTCCAAGCGCTCCATCAACGTCAGGATCTTGTCGCGACGCATCTTGATCTCAACGATGCCCTCCGGTTCGAGCACACCAGCACGCGCATCGACGTCTGCGTACATCTGCATCTGCTCCTTGTTGATGGATGGGTCCAGAACGACCCAAGCGCCGCCGCGAAGTTCACCGTTGGGGACGATGTATACAAACACTGGCTGCTTATAGCTCGATAAACCATCGACGATCTTGGAGCCTTGCTTCAAGACTTCATCGTACATGTCCTGCTGTCCTCCGGAGAACCCACGCCAGTTAGCAAAGATGATGAGCGGAAGGCCTTCGCGGTTGAAGTCGAAGATGGCCTGGGCGGTCTTGTAGGCAGAGTTCGGATACCACACTTGGCCGGCTTCCATGATGCGCTGCTCGAAAGAAGCAGGGTTGGCGGGGTCCGCGGGGACGATGCGCTCGATGGTGCGGGTCTCGACAGCAATGACACCCATCGGGATGCCACCCAGGCGCGCGCGGCCAACAACGACAGTCTGCGCCCAACCACTCAAGGTTTCCTGGAACGAGCCCTTGTCGAAGAAACCACTCGAGTACTCCGATGTCTGCTCGTCTGTCTTGCCCTCGATGAACCATCTCGGGTCGTATGCACCCTTCGGGGGAGTATACTCGATGTCACGGTCCCACGTATCAGAGGTGGGGCGGATGGGGAGGGGGTAGCCTTTCGCTTCAGGAACGTACGACATCCAGTCGAGGATGTGCGTCGCTCCTTCGAGATCGCTACTTGCGGTCAGATGGGACACACCGTTCTTGTGCATAATTTGTGTGCCACCGAGTTGCAGGTTAGACGTGTAGACTTCGCGTCCGAGAACCTTGTTGAGAGCAGGGGCGCCCGTGAGAATGATAGGCTGACCCTCCACCTGAACGGCACGCTCTCCCAGGCGAACGAGGTACGCGCCAATACCGACTGAGCGGGCAGTGACCAGCGTGATGGTGAAGATGTCATCGTATGCGCGAGACGTCTCTCCAGCAATGAGACCGGAGCCGCGTAGTGACTCAACACCAAGGCCATCCTGCAAGCCAATGATGTCGGTGATTTTGAACTGGCGTTCGCCGTCGACCTCAATCTCCGTGGTGAGGACTGCGCCTTCACCCTTCTCCTGTAGCTTGAGATAGTTCTCGGGCGTAAGATAGAGGTAGTTGACGCCCTTCTCCGGGTGGCCTTCGCTATTCCACGCGCAAGAGAACAGGCTAAGGGTCTCCTCGGCCAAACCAATGCGGGCACCAGAGTTCGCAGAGAGGTACACGCGAGGCAGGCCGTGCTCCCGAGCATATTGGGTGGCTTGGTAGAAGTATTGATCTTCGGTAGGACCGAACGAACCAATCTTGTATGTGATGTCGTTGGCGATAACAACGACCCTGCGGCCATGCGGGAACTCCGGTGTCCTCAAGGTGAAGACCCATCCGACCATCCCGAACGTGTTGTTGCCCGGCGCGCGGTCAACTTCAGTCAACAGATCGTGCTCGTCCAAGACCAATTCCTTCGACTCAAGGAATTTCTTGGGAAGGGAAAGAGATGGATCGGTCTGGCGAGCTTTGGCCCAAACGTTGCTAAGCGCCTTGGAGAAGAGGTCGGGGAAGTCATAGACGTAGGTAGTGCCGATGAGATGGGCCTGATATCTCTTCGGCTGAAGCGACTCCTTCGTGGGATACGATTGGTGAACAGGCTGTAGGTGGAGAGGGCCTTTCTCGCCGATTGACTTCAGGATCGTGGTGCCCTTGTCCGTCGTGATCTCCTGATATCCGTGGTAGTTGACGATGAAGCCAGACACGTTCTCGATGATACACCGGATGGGTGTGACATTCCCATCGCTGTCTTCGAGCGCGATGCGGATCTCGGAGCCGGTGACGTGGAGGCGCCAGAGTCGCTTACCGTGGCGCTCGATGAAGCCAGCGATGGCCTCCAGAACGTCTTCGTAGGTGACGGCGAGATTGTAGACAAAGTTCATGAAAATGTGGTTGCAGTCCGCATTCCTGTATTGCGCAATGACTACCTCCAGGGAGTCCAAGATGTTCGTGACCAGGCGGTCAGTCTCCGAGATAAGATACTCGGCAGTGCTCATCGTGCCGCGGAGACGACCAGGGCGTACGAGAGCTCGGATGAAGAACCTGTTGTCCAGCTGGTTCTCCCTGGCCACTGCGTGATAGATGTGGATTTGTTGAGATTCGACGAAGCAAGGGGTAAGCTGGTAGTTCGAAAGGCGGCTGAGCTCCAACTGGAATGCTAGTGCGGGCTCGATGTTGCGGATAGCTTGCTCTTCACCCCAAACACCCTCGGATTCGCGAAGGGTGAAGTACGTGGGATACTGGCCACGACGGCAAATGAGGACGGAAACACGACGGACTCCGCGTTTGGTGAGAATGGCCGCGCGCTCATTGATCAGTGAAGTAATCTTCTCCGACCATTCCGCCTCCGAAAGATCGTCTGCCTCATCGAAGATACGGAGGGCGAAGTTCAGAACATTGGGTGGCTGGGCATCGACTCCATGACGCTGGCGGAACTCGGTGAGGTCAAAGGGAGGCAAGAAAGCTACAACTTTGTCGAAGCCGCGAGAAAGTGCTCCGAGATTTGGGAAAGACGCGATAGCACCTGTGCGTACAGGCTGCGACTGATGACGATTGATCATATATGTCAGGTCACTGACAGAACCCTGTCTCCGGTTCTCGCTAGAAAATAGGGACCTGTCAGTATGTATCATCGATGAAAGTTTCTCACAACATACCCAAAGGTGATGCGCGGAGTCGATGGAGGAGAGTGAGATTGGCCCAAGTTGAAGCGCCATGTCACTACGTTTGGAACTTCGCCGTCGTCCAAACCGTCACCCTCCTCGTAGTCGATCGACAATAGTGTGTACGCGCGGTAGCCACGTCTGATGTATACCTCGAATGCAGCTGCAACAAGACGGTCAGTTAAGGTAGAGTCTCTATAGACTAAGAAGCCCACCAAGTGCGACTGAGGTGTCCTCGTGGTTGAAGAACGAAGGTAGGACATCGTACACAGTGTAACGCGAGTCACTGAGCTCCTTCAAAATATCTGCAGACGGTGTCCTGCACAGAGATTGTCAAGAAATCCCCTATGAAGATCGACATTACGGAGCATACCTTCTTACGCCTCCTGATTCACCATAGTAGCTGTTTGTGACAGACGCTTTGAGCACGGACTCCATTTGAACAAGGCGCTCCTCGTAGGAAGGCATTTGACCGAGAATCAACACCTCGCGAGCCTTCAATGAGACCGCTGTAGAGGACCTACCCACAGATGCGATAAACAACCATCCGGAGATAGAATGACAGTA